GGCTGCGGTGGCCAGGAGCGGCCACTGCACTCCAGTCTGGGCGACAGAGTGAGACTCCAACTCAAAAAAAATAAAATAAAATAAAAATAAAAAAGAAATTATCTGAGTGTAGTGGTGTGTGCCTGTAGTTTCAGCTACTTGGAAGGCTGAGGTGGAAGAATCGCCTGAGGCTAGCTGATCGAGGCTGTGGTGGTTATGAGCATGCCACTGCAATCCAGCCTGGGTGACAGAGTGAGATTCCAACTCCAAAAAAAAAAAAAATGAAAACCTCACATCCTTGGGACACACAGCTGACTGGGTGTAGAAACAGATGGCTGCTTGAGCTCCTGCTGTATTCGGTTAGTATTGAGCTCCTGCTGTATTCAGCATATATGGAATTCCTGCTGTATTCGGTGTGTAATGGGTTCCTGCTATATCTGGCATGTATGCAGCTGCTGCTGTATTCATTGTATATAAAGCTCTAGTCTGTTCCTTTTTGCACTCTAGTTTAATTCAGCATGTGCTAGCCTTAGCATCTTCCCAGTCTCTGCTGTTCTGACACAATCCAGTTGAACCTCAGTGAGGTGGACAGTGGTTGCAATTCTGTACAATGTGAGTGGCCCTTGCTTTACGAGGTATACAAACCTGTTGAGTTGCTTCCAGTCTAGCTGAGGAGCCATTTCCACATCCACTGGCCCTGTGGCTGGTCCTCCAGACAGATTCAGATGAGACCTATCTGTTAGGACTGTCTGGCATCAGTGTTATTGTGGAGCTCAGGGAAGGGGGCTTTGATGTGGTGGGTGTTCTCTGGTGACCACACCAGCAGGATGGCTGTGCACAAAGGAATGAGAGCCAGCAGTGGGGAGGGCGGCACCTCTAGGCTGCATGCCTCTGTCTTCACTCAGGTCCTCAAGACCCGTATCCCTATGGAGGAAGGCACTCTCCACTACAGTAGTGGGGGTGCCCCTCCTCCTTGGAGTCCGCTATTTCACAGCAGAGGCGCGGGAGAAGAGGAGGATACATCTTGTGGTGGACGGAATTGGGCGCTTTGGCAGGTAGGTGGGGTGAGACAACCGCAGAGGTGAGTGGTGCTGCCTACTCAGTGAGGGCTTTCTCCCCCTGCTGACTTTATAGACCTGTAGAGTTGGGGCCACGAGGACTGCGGGGTTTTGCTGGGGATTTTACGGCTGCCTTTCAGGCATCCTTTGCTGCATAGGAAAGTGCTGACTGATGGGAAAGTGAGCACTGCCAGGCCTGTGGGATATAGTATAGACAAAGGGCCATCAGATGGGGATCTCCTTACATTGGATGCAGGATCACAGACCGTTCTTTGTCTGTGAACAGAGGGGCTGTGGTCCTGGTTGGCATCTCCTTCCTAAAGCTTCCTGGCCGGCAGATTAAGTGGCTATCCCTCTTTTTCTCTTCTTGTTCCCCACCCCCAAGGAGAGTTGTCCTCCCAGATGGAGATGTTTGGGCCTGGAAGAGGAGACCACCTCTATCTATGCTCCCAGATATGTGTGACATCTGGTTTTACTGTCAGGGCACCTGACACCAAAGGTCCTTTTCATATTCCCTTAACTTCGAGTGCAGAATTTATGGGGAAGATGGGGGATACTTCCTGTTGGAACCCTTGGGCAGGCATTTCTGCTTTTGGTCAGATCCAAGAATTCCTGTAGCCATAAAACCCTGCCTAACCCAGGTCTCATGGGAACTAGCTCTTGGCATTGAGAGAAACCTCAGTTAGCGTAAAGTCCCTTTGAATTGAGTTAGGGGAGGTGGCTGGGGGAGGGTGTGGCCCTGTTCTGCCCAGCTTTGAGTAGGTGTCTTCTCCCTAGGCCTGACTCAGTTTCTCAGGCAATGCCTAGGGTTCCTAGAGTCTTTGGGTACTTTACCAGAAGCTTCGCTGAGATTCTACATCAGTGGCCATAGATATGCAGATAGCTGAATGCTTGAAGATTTTCAACCTCAAGGGTGAAACAGTCCCCACACCTATCTCCCTGGCATTTGGTTTTGCTTGGAGCTCCTAGTCATCTCTATCAGCAGATACTAGATGGTGTCCTGCAGGGCTGTCCAGGCTCCACAGCCTTAGGGTCAGTGAGGGCAGAGCCTAATGTGCTTATGTGATACTCCACTGTGGTGCACTGGGGCTGCTAGCCACTGTCCCATGTGGCCTTGTTCTGAAATGCTGGCTTGGCAGACCTGGGTTTGTCTCATACTTTCTATCTCACTGCACACTGCTGTTTCCCAGTATCCAGAACCCTGGTGACATGCTTGGTGTGCCTCCCTTCTATGCTCACCTATTGGGAAAACATTTTCTTTTCTTTCTTTTTTTTTTTTGAGTTGGAGTCTCACTCTGTCACCCAGACTGGAGTGCAGTGGCTGCTCCCGGCCACCACAGCCTCGACCTGCTGGGCTCTGGCGATCCTTCCGTCTCAGCCT